AAATTATTCAACTCATTTTTATTTAGATGCCCCAAATATTGTAGAGCAGGAGTGAAAGGACATATAATTAACTTGTCCATAGATGGTTTTTGCTAGAGAATCTAGCAAGAGAGAGGAAATTGAAATTAAAAAATTTCCTGCTGCGCCCATGTTGGTTTAGAGTTCAATACATATAAAACATTTATGATGCTCTGGTTAAAAAATGCGATTATGACACAGAAGCTCAGAGTAAAATGGGTAGAGGAAAACTTAGGAAGACTTGAAAAGAGACTTTAAGAAAGAAAAAAACATGGAGTATTTAGAACTAACGGAAGACTTAGCGCAAAATCAAGCACAGTAGCATTTTAAAATTCATACAACCGACCTTAATTAATGTACATATATAACAAAAATATCCTTGACTCGTTTGGTTTTTTACCTACATTTCATTTGATTTGAGGACCCAAGTCTTCAAAGACATCCACACTAAATAAGACATTGGTGCTTGACAATAATTCTCCATGATTTAATAACAATAATTTTTTTTTTATTATTTAAAAACCCAAATAACTAATCAGTTTGTGAAGAAGCAGAATTGAATATTTGCTGAATTTGATTGACGACAGAACCCTTTTTTCTTTAGAAGGTAGAAAATCTGGTCGAATACATCCATTATGTATCTTGTTGGGGCCCTGCTGGGATATAATAATTCCCATTGGCCAACCCTTTTTTTGTCTGGTTGAAAAATAATGCAAGAACAAAACAGAAAAATCAATAATATGTCACATATATTTGTGCTGAATCTTTCGGATTAACTTTAGTTGAGATCATCATTTGTGAATGTTTGTTTTTCTGCTGTAAAAATTCGAAATGTGAGTTTTAATTTGACCCAAGTTAGGAGGTTTTTACAAGATAGAAGAAGGGCTAAATGACACCCTTTGAAACTCTACAATTCTCACCCCTTTTGTATGTGAAAAGTGCCTAAATTACAAAGAAATGATCGAATAATAAAGGAGAAGCTCCTGTGTCTGTTAGCCGTATATGACAACACACTTGATTAGGTATATGACCAACGTGAGGTTGGTTTGAGTCAAAATAAATGGTTGTTATTTTGTGCATAAGATCGTATAAGTAACTTGGTCTAGATAGTCAGACATTAGAATTTCTCTACCTTAAAAACCAAACGTTAGAATTTCTAACGTCTCTGATCGAATAAAGGGTTGACCAGTCGAAAGACAGTTGATAACACTTATTAAATGGAATCATGTGAAGTTAATTCCATATATCTCCGATGGAAAATCAAATATGGTGACAATGTGAATGTGACATGAATCAATGATTTGAAATGTGACTATTTAGAAGGATCCAAATTTCTTACTTGATGAGCACATGCCCTTTTTATTGCTTGTGGACCTTACTTAATTCATCCTCCACAATTTATGTACGAAAACACAGTCGATGATCAATTTGGTTTTTTGGCTTTTTTCCCGTCCTTGTTTTATCGGGTCCAGTGCCATTAGTTTCCTCCTCAAAATTTTCCATGTACTTTCTTGAGTATATTTCGGGTGAATATTTCTGGTTAGGTGTGTGAATAAGATTGATTACATTAATTCATTGTTTATTTTCTGTTCGAAAATGGATATGCGTACAGACCGATGCTTGAGTCCCAATAGTGTGCTCGGGCGTTGAATAGTAAGTTTAGCCCTAACGAGAGCCTATGGAGACTCAAACCAAGGCATTGAGCAAGAACACAAAAGTTTTATTTGCTGAAAGTAATAACGGGGTAACCCAATTTCTAATAAGTTCTTGCGAAGTTTTTGAACTTTGCAAATAGTCCCATAACATGTTGCGAGTGTTAAAGAGTAGATTTAGCTCCAACAAGTGGCTATGGAAACTCAAACCCAGGCATTGAGGGAGAAACTCAAAAGTCTTACCACAAACAGCAGTGAGAGGAGTAGACCAATTCCTAATAATAATAAGCCCTTTTAAAGTTTCCAAATTTTTGGATGCGAGACAAGTCGTCAATGCATATATATCCTCACATGAACCAAAGATTTGTTGGAGAAATATCTAATTTTGTTAGATAAATATCAACGGAACCAAACCCTAGTTTTGTTAGCTCCTTGGTGGAATATCTAATGAAACTAGAGAGGAATGGTATGGGCTCTCTTGCCCTGCAGCTTGAGCTTTTGCCAATTAACATGGTCCCCTACAAATATATGAAAATGTCAAACAATGCCAGTTGCTAGTACTAGTTTAGCTAAAGCAATATCCACTGTGAGTTGTATAAATATCGCACCACCGACCTACACCCACAGTGTATGTGTGTGGAATGGAAGACCTAAAGTAGTTTTAAATTTCGGTGATTTTTTTTGTAGAGATTATCTTTAAAGGGAGACCTAAATTAAAGATGAATAGTTAGATCGTTAAAATTCGATATGGAATAAGTCCTACAAACCTAAAAGATGAATAGGTAAATCGTCAAAATACGATGTGAAATGAGTTCTACAAAGATCCCTCAATGGAAAAGGACTCTACAATATATATAATCAAACACCCAAAAAGACAAGTTCACCTTCTCTCACTTTCAAGGCCTAAACATAACAATCCCAAAGTCTGCATCAAGAAAATGAAAGTCAAACCTCCCTTTCTCTTGGATTTTTGTCTTTCTGGAGAAGAATGGTAACAAAACCGCCCATTTCTTGGCCTTTTTGACCAAATTCAAAGGGTGAATAATAATGGCTTCATCTCTTGATTTATTTGTTCGTCTCTGCCCCCACTAATTTAATTTGGCTTGCTAATGAGTGAAAGAAATGATTGGAGTTTGAGGATTTTTAGCCACAAATTTGTATTACCTTTTTGTGACTGTAGTTGTGGCTCGAGGAAGATCTTGTATTCTAAACGTTGTTGATTAATTTTTCTAGTGTCTTTTGCATCAAAATCGCACTTACATCTTTGTGACCAGATTATGAATGCAATTTCCATTTGATTCTCCAAAAAATAAATCCTTTTTTTTTTTTTAATTCCTTTAATTTCTTATGAGGATGTAGTCTAGAATTAGATAGACGGCACTTATTTGGAGCCATATATAAATGTGCGTAGCTTAATTAGCTGGTGACCAAGAATATACTTGTCACATCCCACGTATGAGGCCACATGGGATCACAACTCAGGCTGATGAATAATGCCACCGAGAGCCATATTTTGCAAATTATTTCAAGAAAACAAAAACCTGTTTCAAGGGACCATGAACTTAATTGTTTCTGGGCACCAGAAGGGACACACATCACACAACTCATTGCAAGTTTCAAACAAATCCTTTTCGTCTTTGCATGAGCGGAAGTGTCGGAGAGCTTATGCGACTCAAAATTTGTATGAATATAAGATTCGACATGTACACGGTAAACCAATCGACACAGTTCAACAAATATTATTGAATAAAATGATAACACTCAATTTTTTTAGAAGTATGAGGTATTAATTTACCAATGAACACGACACAGACATAAATAAGTAAATCCGAACAAGATCCATTTCAAACCCTTGCACATATGAAACGGTTCGACGGTTTTAGATTTGCTATGCTTTGTGTTTTTTCTCTTTCATATCAGAGATTTGATTTGTCATTCATTCCATAAGTCACGTTCAAAAAACAGTCGCCCAAATTGCGCAATCATGTGTTATGTGGATAACAGCTACCTGGATGATCCAATCCAAATTTTATGCCAGTACTATCGCCTGCAACAGCAAAAGAGTACTACTCTTCAACTAGGTTAAAGTGGGACATCCCTTTGTATCTCTCTCTGGTTACAAAACTTAGGCCTGTCCTGTGGTGAGAAAGATATTCACAACAAAAGGAGATATACGCCGGTTCAACAAGAGCTAGCTAGAAATTTTCTGTGGAGGACATTTTCCCTTCGTTAAACGATGGGGAGTTGTGTTGATGACTATCGATATTTGTATCGGTAATGTTTATAAATTGAAAAAAAAACTGTGAACATGTGGGTTATGGCTATGATAAAAGCTTAAAGATTGTTTAAATGCATATAAATATGCGATCTTCCAGATTCTATTTGCCCCCACATCCAATGTGCAAAAGAAATACGTGAATAAGCCTCGTGGATAAAATGAAGCCTGACCTTACGCATATTGTTTGTCAAAATTTTATACACTCCTAAGACAAATCACAAACAATCAAAGAAATAGACAAGAACACTCAAAATTTGAATAGAAACCAATACGGCAGATTTTAGTTTCTAGAGGATTTTGTACACGATAAGCAATGTATACATGGAGGAGAATCTTAGTTAGAAAATGAATTGGATGATTTTATATAAGTAGACTATCTCTTTGTATAAATTCCAACCGGTGCCGCCAATCAAGTCAAATGGTGACAGACATATTCTTTTAACAACTAGACCTTGATTTGGTTTTCACCAAATTTCGAACGTGTAAACTCAGAAGAAGGAAAAATACCCCAAAGCCAAACCCAACAAAAAAGCCCTAGAAAAGACCCTTCCATTGACCTAACATATTATTTGGCCCCCAAATCATCAATCCTGACAACCTTTACAACTTGCAAGTTCTGCCATCTGATATCTACACCAGCTCAGCAAATATTGCGTGATCAAATTGTCAATTGTCTAGCCACAACCATGACATGAAACTGCTAACCAAAGAGAAGGATTGGAAGGAGTTCACTGGTGGCGTCTCGGTCCAATAATGCATTGTCGTAAGTATGTTTATTTTATGACAATGTATTATTGAACCGAAACACCACAATCATGGTGAATCTGTTTCATATAAGTTGCTTTTACTAACCAAAGTACACACAATTTCTATTTCCTTATTTAATGTAGAGTTTGAAATAGTACCAAAAACTGCTATATATCAAAAGTAAATAATCGAGTCCAAAATTTTGATTACAAAACTAAGCAGTCATGTCGACAACTGTTCGGCTCTATGGACGTCCTACATAGAGAATCTCTCGATATTTCAATGCATTTTGCACTTGGCTTTTATTTGAGGCAGTAGTTTTATGGACTCAAAAGGATGGGAAGAACTTGTCCAATCTACAGGGCAGTTTGTAGAACTCATCGTTCCTAACATCTGAACCATATAAACCGAACCTCTCCCACCAGTTTAAACTGCTGTCTTTTCGAGCTGCATCGTTGTCACGGGACAAAGAGCAATCTAAGATTAGGGCAACAAGTGCAGCTACCGTTGTGTGGGACATGAAGATCACATTCACCATGTCCTCTAACTGAAAGTAAATGAACCGAAAAAATTAGGCGGAAGTTAGCATGTTGGACTTGATTCACACGAAATCAAGTACAGTGACCGAATTGACAAAACTAGAACCGTGGTTACTAAAATTGAAATCGGGAAAAACACTGAATTAAAAATGTATTTTCTCACCCATCTAGGCCCGCTTTGAGTATGGTCGGACCTGTACTCTCGGAAGTATTGTGGTACTGAAATTCCCATGAAGAAAGAGAAGCCTAGCACGAATTTCGTTCTGAAGCTGTTGAGGTTGCAAAATTGGAGAAAACCAAGGCCTGCAGAAGCTGCAAGTGACATTGAAATGTTAAGGCACTGGAATCTGACATTGGAAAAATCAGATGTCTAAAGAACAGATAGACTTACCAACGTAGCCAAATAAGACACAAGAAAGAGCTGCTATGATCGGTGTTGGAATAGAAGCGAAAAGTGCTCCAAATTTTCCTGATTCAAAAGAGCACCATTAGGCAACATGAGAAACATGTAGCATACGAGAGGAACTTCCATGCAGCATGCTGTATGAAACAATTGCCTGTTTCTTCCCTTGCGTATCACGTCAGGAGGGAGATTAATACATGTTCCAAGGGAGTTTTTCTGGTGGGATACTGATGAAGAATAAAATCGTGCAGTTATGCTGTGTGATTGGCAGCATACCAAATATAGAGAAGAAAATCATGAAACCAGCTGATATTTGGACGACTCTTCGACTTCCAACTCTTGTCAATGCTAATAAACCAGCGTTTTCCCTAAGCAGAAAATTACGAGCGCTAATGAGGAGATAAATTTGGTGAAGTAAGAATCGTAAGGGTAGGATCTTGCCGCATTTTTACACATTTATAAAGACATAAAGTCTGAAAGGATAAATTTGATCGAATTTTTCACTCAAACTAATACGAGGATTCAGCTCATTACACTGATGCAGTAGTGCCAGTTGGAGAACCAAACATCCCATTAAGTAGCACTCCTACACCCTGAAATTCAAAAGTGCCTAGAATCAACGAGGGTCGACATTCTAAACTAAAAAACAACAGCTAAAGATGTCGTACCAGCCAGCCAACGCCGCGGCCTGTGACAGAAGGAGGTACGGGCGTGGCACTTCCGTATCTTGCAGTAGCAAAAAATGTACCAGAGGACTGCAGGCATTGAAGGTAAATTATCAGTATAAACATATTTGGTAAATAATATTTGTGATAGGCTTTGAAAAGGCAGTTTTCTCTACTGATTCATTGCAGTTTGCTAACTATTACATATAATTTGAGCTACAAGAGATCGATGTGAACCTCAAAGATCGAAACAAAAGAAGCAGCTATCATTGCAAAAACTTCTCCAGCATTAAAAGTCGGGCTCCCCCATTGAAATGGATACGGAATATATATCCTGCATATCATAACAAAAAAAAAAAGGACAAGATGTATTGTTTTCAAAATATTCAACAAAGGAAAGGAATTACTGGTCGATAATTGCAGTTTGCATTACAAAAGCTCACCAGGGAGCTGCACCAATGAGGCCAGAACGATCAGTGCGGCAACTAATCTGAGTACTTGTTGGTGTGTTGTTATACACTCCACTTGAGGTTAGAATTTGCGCAAACAGCCATGCAATTGCAACAGAGAACAGCACGGAAAATCTGTGGCAGATTTGCTTCTTTGTATGTATGAAACGAGAAAGAAACTGCAATGCGTAAGACTTGAATGAGAAAACTCCAGGAAAAAGACTTGTCTTATGATTTCGTATACTTGTGGTATCGAAAACTTGCCTGTGAGATGAAAACCATGATGATCAACTCTGGAAGCCCAAGTTCAACACACCTCGCCAACTAGAAGGAGAACAGAGCTTTTTTTTACCAGATGGATTAAAACTAATAAACATCATATGAGCAAATAATGGAGGATCAAGAGCTTTTTACCAGAGGGAAACCAAGATTGTAGATCCCGAGTCCGGCAAAAGTTATGAATGGGACAACCGAAAGAGGGCTAAGAAACCTAAATCAGTAAGTCAAGAAACTTGGGTCACAAGAAATTCAAATTATCAAACATCTACAGTACCACTAGTTTGAGAAGTTCATGAATGACTCCAAAACCAAAAAATCGAAAACATTCCAGTTCAGAACGACTAACCTTACAACGTTTCTCCACAGCCCCAGGAAACCCACAATCATCTGAAAACAGGAAGTGATGATTAGAGCGCCTTGTATACCTCTCATTGTCTCCGAAAACCTCTGAAAAGTTCATCAAGAAGGCCAAGTCAAGAAATTGAGATAGGAAATTAATATTTCAAAAACCAAAATTATTAAGCTGAAGCCTGACCTCATGAGGATCTGTGAACGCCTTATATCTATTGGCTAGGATTATTGAAGTTGTGGGGATTATATATGTATATGAACCCACCACCACTGTAGGAAGCCTGGTACCAAACAGAGATTGCAACAATGTGTTCAACCCTGAAACAAACAGCATGGTCTGCACAACTCTGGCTTCTCAATCTGTGGGGAAAAAAGGAATGAATAAGTTGACGAATCCATTCTTTGTTAAAGAATCAATGTGACTGATATGGTCGGAAAACAAATGATTTCTGTACACCCTTTTCCTCCTTCTGCGTACTTCTGCTATTTATGTCTCTTCATTCCGAAGGTCAGAAATAAATCGTGGTGTGCAGAAGAGAAAGGGATGTCTGGAAATCACTTTCCTGTTGGAATTGTATCAACAACAAAGAACGGATGTCCGGTCCATTGCCACTTGCCAGACTACATCGATCACGAAAACATGACCGAGAAAAAGAAAGTGAAACTTAGTAATGAAATCCTTACATTGCCTCCGCCCATTTGAGTAACAAACATAGTTGGGATGAAGACAGTAATACCAAGAGTCAACAGATAATGCTGGAAACCCAGCATCACAGCTTCCGCTGCAAAAACCGTCAAAGTTTGAAGATTCAGAACTTTGGCTAATAATTATTCCGAAACCCAAGTAATCAAGATTGTAATTATAGTAATAAGCGAGGATTAGTATACTAACGCCACGGCGGAGGGCTGTTGACACAATACTGAACACCGGGTAGCTGCTCTTTCACCGGGTGAGGCTGCAACTCCTCTGCCTCCTTGTTGCCACCACCATTACTGTTGTTGTTGTTCCTACCGTTGCCATTATTGGTATTGTTACCGCCACCACGGCCACCATTATTATTGTTACCACGGTTGCCGTTACCACCATCGTTATTGGTACTGTTACTGCCACCACGGCCACCACCATTATTGTTGTTATTGTTACAACCGCCACCATTATTGGTATTGTTACCGCCACCACGGCCACCACCATTATTGTTGTTATTGTTACCACTGCCGCCGTTACCACCACCACCATTATTGTTATTGTTGTTGCCACCGCCACGGCAACCAACATTATTATTGTTGGTGCTGTTGTTACCTCCACCACGGGCGCCACCATTATCATTGTTGTTGTTTCCCCCACCACCGTTGCTGTTATTAGTACCACCACCGCCATTACTGTTGTTATTGTTACCGCCGCCCCCGTTTTGGGCCATGTTTTTTGCTAGTTGAGGGGGTTGACGGAGGAGGGTGGAGAACCAAAGAGAGGCTAGAGTGCTAGAAAGTAGGAAGGGAGATAAGTGGCACACCCTTTTATTGCGCGGGAATATAACCAGTAAGTCGACCGTTTCAAATTTTAATTAACCAATAATATTTGAAAATTTCAAATCTTATGTGGTAATTAGTATTTGGTCGAACAAAAATTCAGATTTTGTTCATAAAGTACATGGTCTTAAACTTGATGATTTCAAAACTGAAAAACGATTTTGTTTTAGTGAAAAATTGAATAAAATTTGCTTCAATGGTTTGGACAGGTCATTTTATTGAGACGATTCTAAGTAACTATAAGATACTTCCATTGAATATGAATTAGGAAATGATTTCCGCTCACACTTGCTCTCTTTTTCAACCTCAATTAGAGTGTGCAAGAGGGCATTTGATGTGCGGAAATCACTTCCGTACTAATTCCGGACCTCAGTTTCCTAAAAAACCGAAAATAAATCCTGATTTACAATGATTAAAGCGGAAATCATAGAATGATTGTGTATTTAAAAATGATCAGATACACAAGAATCAGAGGGAGGAGAAAGAGCATAGAAAACATGGAGATTTTAATGAAAGTCTTACACCAACACATTTTGATAACAGAACATCACCATCTTTTCATATATGAAATTCAAATGCCGAGATCACGATTAGTTCCACCCAAAATCACGATCAATAATCAAGTAAAAGTACCCGGATAATGATTAGATCAATCAACAAACCGAAATATGAATGTTTTCCGGTGCATTTACAAGTCATCAACCAAACCACTGCATCAGCGTGACAAGTTCCGGTTCAGATCTGTTTCGCCCGCTCTGTGTTGGATAATTCTTTCTCGTCTCCCAGCCAACTTCAGTGAACTTGCATTCAAACATGTTCCACTCGGACCTGCAGAGCAATCCTGAAAAAGAAAATTTACTCATGGTTTACCATCTTTTCTCTCTTCACATAATCTCCCTGTACCTTCATTTGTTGGAAACGCCGTTATTCTCGACAGGAACATAAAAGAATATGAATCCTTTTTACACTAACTTTATTGATATATTGCTTGATCCATGTAAGCTATATATGGTTGTCGATGTTCCAATACTTCATTCGATAGACATTGTTCCGACAAGTATATTATTCCAAATTCCTTCAATCCGACAAGAAATATTTGTACCCTTATTCTTAAAGCTGCAATTCTAAACGGAACAATGTTGCCTTCGGGTAAAGTATGTTCATGAAGAGGGAATGGTACGCATGAAATATTGTCTGCTAAACTCCTCGTGGAAATGATGAATCAAACTATTTTACATTCCACAACTTCGGTGGGTTGTCAATAATTTCAACCTTTTAAATCCTAGTTTAAGGTTCGTAAATTCCTCTAATCATCAATATCTGCTTGCGTGCAGCTCAACTTATATTTCTGACTTCCAGTATTAATTGAAGGGAAATTTGAATCAAGAAACGAAATAACAATAATACCATCAACCGTGTCCAGCAGTGCCTATACTTCCCTTCTGGTAACCTACAAGAATACCGGCTGACCCTGATATTACCCCGCGTGTTCTCCTCAAGTCAAATCTTCTAATGACATTTGTAATTCTCCTACTAAGTTTTTAACTTTTGATCATTGCTATGCATCAAATCTTCGCTCAGACTATCAATCGCTATTGTTCCTAATCTTATCAGACACGAAGACAACCTTTTCCCACAACATTGTAACTTCGAAATACTCTAGTTCATGATACATTATGATTCTCAGCATACCAAAACCTTTTGTTGTTCAAATCTTGCATTCCCTATATCTAAACTCAGTTAAATAGGCAATGATAAAATAGCTAACATCCATAGCACACAATAAAACAAAGGCATTGCTTAAACACACAGTGAATTTTGACTCACCAGAAACAGCATCACTCCCCTCCAAGCTCTAAACTCCGCCTCCATTGCCGTCAGCAACCTCCCCTTTCTTAACCCAAACCCTAAACCCAGATCCTCTCTGTCTCTGCAAATCAAAGCGGCCATCTCTCTTACCATAGCCCCTAATTTCACCATTACCGCGGCCACCAGCTCCAGTCCACCTCCTCAGCTGATCATCCCCTTTCCGGCCTCACCATCCACCGATAAACCCCCAAATTTGGGCACCATCTCCGTCACCGGACCCACATTCACGCTCTTTGCCCTAATTTCAGTTTCAATTTCTATTCCTACTCCCTTTTCTACCTTCCAGTCGCCCGATCGCTTTCCTTCTCGGCACTTGCTGTATGCGCATCCACTCCACCTTCCTTCTCAGTCACCTCCTCCTTCTCTTCCCTAGCATTCTTCTTCCACTTCCTGTTACCCTTCTGCTTCTTCTTCTTCTTCCTTTTCTTCTTCTCCTCTGGTTTCTCGATTTTCTTCCCCTCCAGCTCAGCGACCTCGAGCTCCGAAACCCCCAGATTAACCGGCCGAAACTGCCCCCGATCACTCCGATTCCACGGCTTGATATCGGTTTCGGTTCTCTGAACGACGTCGCTTTGCTTCGGCTGTTCTTCCTCGCTTCCATTCCCCTCCAGCTCAGCAGCCTCACGCTCCGAGCCACCACGATTAACCGGCCGAAACTGTGCCCGACGACCCCCGTTCCTCGGCTTGTTATCGATTTTGGTTCTCTGAACAAGGGCGTTTTGCTTCAGCTCTTCTTGCTCGCTTCTTTTCCCCTCCAGCGAGGGTGCCCGATCGCCCCGATTAACAGGCCGATACTGTGCCCATTCACTTCGATTCCTCGGCTTGTTATCGATTTTGGTTCCCTGAACGACGGCAGTTTGCTTCAGCTCGTCTTGCTCGCTTCTTTTCCCCTCCAGCGAGGGTACCCTGATCACCCCGATTAACAAGCCGAAGCTGTCCCCGATCACTTGGGTTCCTGGGCTTGTTAGCGGTTTCGGTTCTCTGAACAAGAGCGTTTTGCTTGAGCTCTTCTTTCTCGCTTCTTTTCCCCTCCAGCGAGGGTGCCCGACCACCCCTATTAACCGGCCGAAACTGTCCCCTATCACTCCCATTCCTGGACTTGTTATCGGTTTGGGTTCTTTGGACTACGGCATTTTGCTTCGCCTCTTCTTCCACGCTTCTTTTCCCCTCCAACAAGGGCGCCCGGCCACTTCGATTCACCGTCCGAAACTGTGTCCCATTTCTCGGATTATTACCGGTTCCGGTTCTCCAAACGACGCCGTTTTCCTTCGGCTCTCCTTCCTCGCTTCTTTTTCCCTCCAGCTCAGCACCCTCACATTCCGAAACGCTCCGATTAACCGGCCGAAACTGTGCCCGATTACCGCGATTCTTCGGCTTGTCATCCGCTTCGGTTCTCTTAACGATGGCGTTATCCTTCGGCTCTTCTTCCTCCCTTTTTTTCCCCTCCAGCACAGTACCCTCGCGCCCCGAAACGATCCGATTAACCGGCCGACACTGTCCCCGATTACGACCATACCTAGGCTTGGAACCGGTTTCGGGTTTCCAAACGACGGCTTTTGTTTCTTCTGCTTCGCCTCCTCTTCTCGGAGCTTCCGCTGCTGGAGCTCTTCTTCTCGCCGTTCCTTCTCCTCTTGTCGTCGTTTTTCCTCCTCTTCTCGGAGCTTCCGCTGCCGGAGCTCTTCTTCTCGCTGTTCCTTCTCCTCTTGTCGTCGTTTTTTCTCCTCTTCCTGTCGTTTCTTCTCCTCTTGCCGTCCTTCTTCCTCCTTCTGTTTTCGTTCCTGGTCTCGGAGCCAGCGCTCCTTGAGGTCGTTGATGGTGACGTAGTTGGCGAGCAAAGATTGGGGCCTCTTGAATTTGGTGACCTCCATTTTTGAATACTCCGAAATGGGGCGATTTTTCGCTCCACAAGTTCACTAAAGAAATGATTCAAATGAATGAGCCAATCCCAAAACAAAGACAAAAGTCTATTTCATCATTATTTCATCGTTTCAAGAAAAATAATGGCAATTTCCAATCCTTTTTTTTATTTTTTTTTTTTTTTGAGGGAACTAATCCTTTTTTCTTATTCTCTCTCTCGACATTTGCAATTTTAGTAAATTGTCATTTATACCCTCACATCTCCGTCAAATTGAAGGTCATTTTTGTCCATTTCCGTCGTGAAACTAACATAACGTGTGACAACTTCAGTCCTCATCGTCAAATAAGACTTTTAGGGGGCGTTTGTTGCGCCGGATTATCCCGGACTGGATTAGCTTCAAGGACTAAGCTGGACTGGCTTAGACTAGACTAAATTGGACTAACTTAGTGAAGCGTTTGGTGCAGTATTGGACTAAGAAGCTGGATAATAACAAATTCTAATATTATATTATTTAATATATAAATTATTAATATTTTATTATGACCTTATCTTTTTCTTCATCTTTTCCTACCATTTCCGTCCCACTCTTTTCCTCTTCTCTCATCGTCCCACCCTCTCCCTTTTTTTTTTCCTCTTAGACCTCTCAATTCATGTCTCTTTCTCATTCCTGGTCAAACTCCTTATTGATTCCAATCTCTATTTCTCTGTCCTCCCTCCCTCTCTAGCAATGCGTTGTTCGAATGGAACCTCACGGCTCCAATTTTCCCGACGAGTTGCAGGTTTCCCAATGTGTTTTCCGGCCAACCCTCGTTAAATTGGATGAAGTTAGCACCGCCAAAAATTCATCACCATCCCTAGACCGAGATCTTAGTTTTGAATGCTCGAATCTGTCATGGATTTGAAGAAGCCCAAACAGGCCGAGACTTCCAGGCCATTTTCCGGCCACATTCGACCATATTTTGGCCTCGATTCAGGTAAAATCGTAATCTTGTCACTCCCAGCTTCAATTTGGTATATTTTATATGAAAGTTGGTTGTGAAATGGATCTGAAAGAGAGTCGGAAAGTTAATGATTGATCTAGGTGACCGGAGATGATGAGGAGTTTGTCGGGAGTGGTCGTTGAGCATGACAAGGACGAGAAAGAGAGGATAGTCTTAGCTAGTCCCATGGTTATTGGGGGGTCTCGCTAAGACCTCTTAGTGAAGGGTTTTGTCCATGCTAGTCCCCTTTAGTCTCATTAATGTTAGTCCCAGCATGGAACAAACACAGTATTGGACTAATAGCTAGTCCAGTCCAGTCCAACTTAGTGAGGGCAAACAAACGCCCCCTTAAGGACAAAAATTAGGTAGAATGTTTATCCGCACTAGTTGTGATTGACGAGTTCTCAATGCATATCTGTCGTAACCAAAACCATTTGTTTGTTAAGTTTACCATTTAAGGTTCATTGCGAAATTTTAATTATTACCAAAATCATCAATTTGTTCAATGTATGTGGATTACTAATAAATTTTTAAACTTTTTTAATCTGTAATTGTGATATTGAATGAACTATTTGAATCATGAAATATAGACAATAAAGATACGTTAATCATAATCAAAAATAGATAAAAGGAGGCAGTCCTAACTTCTAAGTATTGTGTTAACGCTCAAAACTTGAAGGTTAACAAATTAAAGTATGAAACCTTTGGTAGGCTTGAAATATAAGTTGAAATGAAATGAACACAAGGATATATAGTAGTTTGCTTGTAAACACAACTACGTCCACTGTAGGCCATTTATTTATTTGTGATACATCCGAATTGGCTTGGGAGCCCTCCCCAGATCGAAGGGTCCAACCCGCCTCTCTTACATAATAGCAACTCCGGCGTATCAAGGCCCCTTAAGGCAACTTCCTATTGAATAGCCTCCAGTAAACAGTAACTAACTTTAATGAACAGTAATTACCTTTTGCATCTCCACCTAGGGGTGGGCATAAAAACCGTCAAATCGTAAAACCACATCGAACTATATGGAAAAAAAAATAGAAAAAAACCGTGTTGATCGGAAAAGTAAACTTTGAGTCAAAAACCAAATCGAACCGTTCAAACTGATTCCGACGGTTTTGAATGAACAAGAATCGACCGGAACCAAACCGAACCGTTTTATTAATAATTAATTAATTATATATATACACACACACACATGTCATGGTATAATAAGTTGAAAAATAAATTTCACCAAGTTACAAAGTAATGGATCTCATCCCATTTAAAGCTCACTCACCTCATCCTCACCTCACTCACGAGGGCTCATTCCCCCATTTCACACAATCGACCCCTCTTCCTTGTCGACGCTCTCCGTTGATTTCTTCATTAATAGAGAAATGTCCTCACCTTAGAGATGGTTTTTCACTAAAATAATTTATAATAATTTCTGATCGCATGATGTACAATGAACAAATGTGATTAGAGGGTCCGGCAAGATCCTCCTAACCCTAGATTACCCGGTATCCACATATTTTAAATATTTGTTTGCAATTAAAATTAAAATATAAAGATTAAAATAATCGGAGTACCAGGGCACCGAAGAATTTTTGCCTACATGGACATATTTTCTGTGAGCGCTCACAAACACGTACCCACCGTACAATTCCAAGTGTCAATCTCTTCTTACTCTTCCCTTCATGTTGCCCGTCTCTGATTGGTCCAAGTCTCACTCTTAAGAACTCCAATCCCTCTCTAAAAACCCCCTACCAACCTCCTCCTCTCAAATCCCTTCCTCCTTCCTCTACATTTCTCCCAGCACTCACTCTTTTGCCTCCCTACCGCCGTCACCACCACCGTCATTACCGAACAGCTTGTAGGCCGGCGTTAGCAAAGAGAACCGCCTACCGCCATAACATGATCAAGACGTTGAACCCCTACACCGACACGGAAAAAACCGCTGAGATTATGTCCAGGTACAGGCCCATAGCGCCGAAACCTGAGATAACAGCAAACCCAGCAGGCGATAACCCGTCCATGTCTCAGAAAATCAGGGACTCTCCTTACCTTAGAAACCTCTGGCCGCAGTTGCAGGCCAGACCCACCAGGACTCGAAAGCGAGGTCGAACCGCTCTCTCTCCCACCACCTTTAAGAGGCAGAGGAGTCATCACATGCTAAGATTCTCCACTCCTTGTCATGTGCAATCTCCGGTGAAAAATCTGAGATTGGACGGTTTTACTCGTGCGCTTTCGAAGCTTCCGATTCCGACTAGCCTCGACACCGACAACACCGCCGCTTTGATGACTCTGCCTCTTCTGCCATATATCCCTCCGTCGTCGGTCCCCATTGCTACAAACCCAGCAGTGGTTCCGGCAGAACTCGAATTGATCAAAACCTGCGGAGGAGGAGAGGAGAATTTGATTGATTTGAACACCGTGGCTGCTGAAATCCCAGAAGAAAAAGATCTGCTCAAGCAACTACAGGGGAATTCCCCTGCACCTCCACCAACAAATACCAATGTCATAGAGCCGCAGCCAATTCGACCGGTGGGTTCCAGCATAAGTGTCGGATGCATCAGCGCAGACCCGAGCCTAATTCCGGCAGCGCAAGCTCCTAAGAAAGCAGAGGACGTTGAAGAGGAGATGGAGTCTGAAGCCCTGCCGGTAATCTTATCAGACTCGCGCAACAAAGTGAGGATGGCAAACGCTGCCTACAAGGAGATGGTGGGACAGCCAGAGTGTCCATGGCTTGACGCCATGGTGGCCGGAGATGGGCGGTTCGGAGGCAAGAGGATCAGCGGGGAGGTCAGTCTGCAGCTTTCAGATTCAGGGGTGCCCGTTTCTTCAAACGGGTTTTCGTGCTGGGTGAGGATTGAGTGGGGGAACGAGATAAACAAGAACGCGGTCAATACATTCTGCGACGTGACGAAGCTGTACTGTGAGTCCAAGGACTACCTCTTTGAATGGAGGTTCCACACCCACAGCAGGGAGGGTTGTCAGTCCTCCAGTTCAAGTCCTTGAAAATTTGCACTGTAATTATGAGAAGTAGTGTAGCTAGCTCACTAGGGGAAAGAATGCACCTAAAGTGTCTACTATATATCTGTTCTATGTATGCATATAGCAAGAAGAAGTATATGTAGAGTTTGGCCAGCTTTTCTAAGAGAGAAAAAAATTTGTTCATCTCAAATTAATTTCCAATCCAGCAATCACACACAAGTACTAAACACACAAGAATAAGTACTGATAGCATTGAACGAGAGAGTTACCTACACCCGCGACTTGACGCCATTATTTGCGCTATTGGTCTGAAGTACTGCGCACAGTGGCATTAGCAGGTGTAGGTAGGGACATTCTGGGGGAGGAAATAACGTTCTCAGATGTTTGCAGCATCAGCTGCAGTCTTCTCGCTCTTATCAGGGCCCTTCCACTTGAAGTTGTCTGCATATGCCTTAGCCTACAAATGGTCATAAGATTTAGATGATACTTTAAGTGTTCTGAGATCCAATTGGAGAAACTAGTTATTTCATCTTCAAATAAGTTGGTAGGAGAATTTCAAACCTTCAAAAGTGGTGTGTGACGCTTCCTGACCTGCAAATACGGTTCATTGTGTCAAGAACGTGCATAATTTTGGTCAATTTCCACACAAGATATTCAATTCCATACAAAAAAATTGTGGAACATTACGATCATTTCGTGCCTAGGATTGGACTGGATAACTCATAAAATTCAAGGTCCGTTACCAGGTGGAGGTAAATGGGTTTTTATTTTGAGGTGATATAAGGGATTATACAAGGAAACTGATCCATCCCTCGTAATCTAACATTGGGGATTGGATGGAATAGGTTTCGCAACGAGTAACCCATCTTCTACTTTCAAGTTGGACAAAAAAGTTCATTTTTTCCAACATAACATATCTAAAACGGTCAGAAAATCTAAAACACTTTGAAGTACTATCATCACGGAAAGATCAAAACTTAAAGATGCACAGACCGTATAATCCCAGCCATGTTTCTCAGCAAATGCCTTTGCAGCTTCTTCACTCTCAAAAGTCAGTCCTGCCTCACCAACATTAGCGTACGGATCACCTGTAGATGTCCAGCCCATCAATGGGTTTTCCCACCTGCAAAAATTTCAATGAAAATTGCTATCACTAGTGTCAAGATTTCCGAGAGACGAAACCCCCCGGGCAACTACAAATCTACAGCAATATTATCCGCAACTTGCATATTCCCTCTTCACCGCCATGGCAGGTGTGGGGTTTTATCGCAAAAGCTCTCGGTGCAGTTAGTTTTCATATTGTGTTTCATTTCGTCAATTTTCCAATTGGGAATGTTTACATTCTTCAACAATTAGCATCCAATAATGGAATTCCAGATCAACCAACACTGCTCATAAAATTTCAAAGAAGCACAACACAGCTGAGCTAACTATACTATAGATACACAATTAATTATGTAAAATCGATGAAATTAACTATACACATCATATAATTATGCATGCAAAACATGATTAAGATATCAATGTACGTACTTTTGTGTCGAAAGAAAATTAATTTTCCATTTCCCGACTTTCCCAGAACCTTGTTGGGTCGCAGTTCGAGCAGGCGAATAGATTATAACCTAATCACACCCAAATCCAGGATTAAATTTCTCAAAATTTTGAAAAATAAAACAAATTTTCAAATTAAAAAGGATATTATTAAATTTTTAAAAACGACGAGTAATTGAAGAGCTGACCCTTCGTCGGAGATGCTGTTCGGGGATTCCGGATATCATGCCTATGTCGGGGACTTTGACCTCCACCAGTGCCTCCGCTGACTGCGACGACGCCCATCGCGGCCGCGAAAGCACGTGCGCTCGGGCGATGTTGAAGCCGTGTCGTAGAGGTCTCGCCATTTTTTCTGGGAGCGAAAAACTTCGAGGTTCTTCTCAGGCGAAAGCGCAACAATGGGTTCCTTGACGAAGCCAAATCGCGTGACTACGAATGCTTGATGGAATTACTACCAGAAGGTTCCTAGAGTTGGTCCTTTTGCGCCATAATTATGCCACGTACTCACTGTGGGAACTCTCCCATTTTTCATTTTTGCTTTTCTTTTTATTTGATCATTTATTTATTTGCCAAGCGCAAGGTTGGTCCAACAGCAATCCCACCGGTTCGACAAGTAAAGCCCAGCCCAATTAATTGACACGTATTCTTTTACCTTACTCGAGTTAACTTTCACAATATTTCAATTTTGAAAAAAATTAACTAAGGTTAACTGAAAGGACACCGAGTCAATTGATTATGTATATAGCGAGCATACACTATAGTTTATAATGGTGAGCAAAAATGCTCCCTTTGTGTTTGTGCAATTTGGATTATTAAAATTAGATCTAAAGGCTATAAACTGGGGGCTTTTCTAAAGTTATAATAATTATAGCCGTTGAATTAAATTTCAATGATCCAAATAATTTAATCCTTGAACTCAATTCTTTTGGATCCGAATAAGATCCCTTTCCTTCTTACGCATGCTTTTGGCCGGGCTGTGTGTGGCCCACCACTTGCCCTCCAATATTAGGCTGCCAAGGGCGTTTTGGTCAATTGAATGGCCCTTGCCCTTGCTCAAAAGCATCGGGTGGAATTGAGTTCGAACTCCCACAAATAGATTTTTGGGGCTATTCATTAGTGTATCATTTGATAATCAAAAGTACATTATCGTCTCATGAGTTATTACCAGAACTACATGAGAAAGGGGATAAGTCAATCATTGATGTGTAATAGTACCACCTATATTTATAAAAAAAACAAAAATTATTCATTTGCCTTTGAATTTAGTATCGAATTGTACTTTGACATCTGAAACAGAAAATTATCATTTAGTTCCTAAAAAACATGTGTATAGTAATGTGTTAGTTTTAATTGGTAATTTGTACATGTTGTTAGTGATGTGGCCTTATCTCAATGTTGACGTAGCAGAGTCAAGAATTGTATATGTTTCTGACAGAAAAATGAGAGTAATCTAATGATTCATTTTAAAGCTGTGTTTGAGAAGAAAAGAATTTGAAAGATAAAAGGTTTTCAAAATTTAGCTCACAAAATATGTTTCAAACCGGAATATAAGCAAATCACATGTTCCTAATTATTAATCTTTATGCATCAAAAAAAGAGTTTTAATTCGGCAGAAGCCCAAATGGCATGATTTTAATGTGAACATGGACCTGGCTTGCCATAGCTGTATGGCCCGTACCTTTAGTATAACTTTGTATTCAACAGTCACTATCGTCGTTTGGATTCATTCTTCCATCCACCGGCCGGATTATTTGGTGTACAAAAAATTTAGATACGCGACGTTATTATTTAATTTCAATTAAAACTTCAAACTCCGGTTTGAACAGGAAAAGTACGCCATAATAATGTGCTTTGGATGATCCACATCTAAGGGTCAGGCGATAATGAGCACATTGAACTATCCATGCGGTTGAGAGCTCTCATAGTCCAAGCACAACAACGCAATTATCAGGGGCGTGCTCTATCACTGAGCTAATAGCCTGACGTGCGGGCCTCCCGCTGGGGGCCCGCTATGCCAAAAGCGAGAGAAACCCCATCCATCTCTTTTCTTTTTTACGCCCCCACATCTCCATACGGGATATTTATTTTTTATTGAAAAATAAGACATAAATTAGGTCGTTCATTTATGCTATAAGATGCTAAATAGGTGACAGTATATTGGCATGCACACAATTTTTTAGTGACTAAAAAGATTTATTGTGTACAGTACTTCTTTACATAATATTCTTATTTTGCATATATTATTTTTAACTAATATATTTTAAAAGTACGACAAATTAATGATTTCTTTTATAAGAAAATTAATGAAAATGGTTTGAAATTTTTAAATTTTAACAATAAAGACAAAATAAAGGGTAAAGTGAATAGTACTAGGATTCAATTTTCAGTGTAAAAATGTGATTTTTCATTAAATGAATAGTAAAAGAAAATTTTCGTTAAAATTCCCTTCTTTTATCATATTATAACAAATAACATGTAAAATAGTACATTACAAACAACGATTTGGTACGCCGAATAAATTCTCAACCGGCTGAGTACTCCCCTCCGTTACTCTTCCAGAATTACCCATTTGTCCGTTTCCAACACACAAATGCCATTTGTTCTTCCTAGTTTGCATCGAGTTGATTTTACTTCCTTGTCCTTTTGTGCCTCCACAAACACATCATTTTCGTCATAAACGATCGTATAAACACACAGAGACACAACACAAAAAAGCCATTAAACTTTGATTGCAGTTAACAATAATGGCGTCTAATTACAAATCAGCCGATTCAAGGCTCTCCGATCTTGAGCTAACATGTTCCGATTTGAAAACTCTCCTACGAGCGACGGCGGAAATGGAAGAAAATCTTGAAAAGATGGACAACAAGTTTGAAGCAATAGACGAAACGCTTCTAACTACGTCTAGAAGAGTAGCTCCTTTACAATCGCTAGCCATGGCCTCGAAAGCCTTGGAAACCAGAATCAACCGAGCTGTCGCGCCAGCTTTGGCGCTTCTTCACAACTTCAAGCTCTCTGAGACAATCCAGGATAAGCTCTTGGATCTCTCGGAGAAGTTGTTGAGCGAGAAGTCAATGAAGAAACGGCTCAAGAAGCTTGTCAAGTACGTGGACTACGTGGACCAGTTGAAAATTGCGATTAACTGCATTTGTGAAGAGGGTGAGCCGGTGATTCAGAGGCTGCAGGAGGTGGTGGAGTTTTTGAGCCGGACGAAGGCCACGGACCAGTACAGAACGCACCGGCTGAGGGAGACGCTGGTGACTCTCAAGTCGCTGTACGAGACGGAGGTTGACGCCATGAGGTTTGAAGGATTGCTTGATGAGGCGCTGTTGAATTTGCAGGACGAGTATGAGAGTATATTGGAGCAGATTAGGCATCGGAATGTGGTGGATTTGCATGCTGCGTCGGATAAAGATGATCGGAGCGATGAGATGGCTATCGTGGGTTCGGGTTTGGGGACTGAGTTGGAGGTTGAACTTTTGAGAAGGATTTCACAAACCCTAGCTGCCGATGATTGCTTGGATATATGCATCGATATTTATGTTAAGGTAACTTCATTATAATGGTTTTTTTTTCCTCACTTGTAGAAATGTTTTTTTTTTTTTTTTTTTTTTTTTTTTGTTAATTATGTGATTTGTTATCCATCTATTAGGGTGAGCAGCATCCCTAGCTATTATTCCGAGGGATAGGGTCGTACAAAATGTGACCTCTGATATTGAATTTCTAGTACTATTACATGTTATTGATACTTTTTGAGACCGAAAATGATTGAGATTGCGTTTAAGATGGTTTTATAGTCTCACCGGCCTCTTAAAGAGACTTGTAAAACTTATTATGTTCAACTGTTCTCTGATTTAATAAGCGCTAAATTTATAAGTTAATCAATCAGTGATCACAATATTAGTGCAATTAAAATTGAAATAGTCCACTTCAAAAAACAAAAACTCTTAACTTTTTTATTTTTTATTTCTAATTGTTATGCTTGTTGTCGTTCAACAGGTGAGGTACAAAAGGGTGGCCAAAGCACTAATGAGGCTAAACCCTGATTACCTAAAAACCCACACACCAGAAGAAATAGATGAAATACCATGGGAGAGCTTGGAGACAGCCATAACCCTCTGGATCCAGCACTTCGAGCTCGCAGTCAAAGCAGTGCTCGTATCGGAGAAGAAACTCTGCGAACAAGTCCTAGGAGGAATAATGGAAGGACTGATATGGCCAGAATGCTTCGCCAAAATCGCAGGCAAAATCATGGCGGTGTTCTTCCGGTTTGGCGAAGGCGTTGCCCAAAGCAGCAAAGAACCACAGAAGTTGTTCAAGCTCCTTGACATGTTTGATTCCCTAGAGAAGCTGAAGCCTGGATTCTCAGAGGTTTTTGATGGCGAATCGGGGACCGACTTTTGTACAAGATTCAGGGAGCTGGAGAAGCTTCTTGTTCATGCTTCCAGTAAAGTTTTTTGGGAATTTGGGCTTCAAATTGAAGACAATTCTGATGGATTGCCTCCACCACCAGACGGTTCGGTGCCGAAAATAGTAAGGTACGTCAAAATTTTAGGGAGACGGATTGGCGGCAGTAAACTAAAGGATTTGTTCTTGAACTATGATAAAATTGAAGCTTTAGCTTTTGAATTAAAATCCATTAAAATTAGTACATGAGTTTGATAAAAATATGTAGCATATTGGTTATTAAACCTCAATTTCATTAGAATGTGATCAAATTTAAGAAGGCAACATGCATGCACATTCATTTCTCCGATTTGCTCTTTAAAAAGACTCACCCGCATTTTACGTGCTTAATTTTGACGAAAGTTCTCACGAAGTTGGCTTGAAGGACCAATGCTCTACATTTTATCAAATGCTGATATCAGTTTTAATCGATTTAAAATTTAGAGGCAAGAGCTCCAATCATAAATTAAGCACCAATGCTTCAATGTTATGTTTCCAACTTGCATTTGACGTGCGACTTTTTACATCCTTCAACAGGTACGCAGTGAACTACTTGAAATACTTAGCAACTGAAAATTACAGCGTCCCCATGGCGAAAGTTCTCAGAACGGAGCAAATCTGGAAAGCCGGGATCTTGTCGAAACCAGAAACTGACGAGAATCTACTCAAAGACGCCATTTGCAACATCATGGAAGCTCTGCAGAGAAACGTGGAGTCGAAACGTTCCGGCTACAACAACAATAGCAGGGAAGGGGACAAAATCGGCATTTCAATTCACATGCCACACGTGTTCTGCATGAACACGTACTGGTACATTTACATGAGGACGAGAAACACGGAGCTCGGGAAGCTGTTGGGAGACGGCTACTTGAGGAACAACTACAAGGTTGTCGCCGAGGAATCCGCTTACTTGTACCAGAAGCAATCGTGGGCTCCGCTGGTTAGGATTCTGGAGAGGGACGATTTGGAGGAGCAGCAGAGCAAGGAAGCGAAGGCGGGGCTGGTGAGGGTGAAAATCGAGGCGTTCATGAAGGGCTTGGACGACATTTCGAAGAGCCACAGGGGATTCTGTGTAATTCCGGACGTTGACTTGCGGGAGCAGATTAGGGCGGCTACCGTTAAGCTGGTGATTCCGGCATACACCGAGTTCGTGAACTCGTTCTCGGGGTTGTTGCAGGGGAAGGGTTATCTGGGTCCTGACTCGGTTCAGGAGTTGTTGGAGAAAGTTTTTGACGGTGGGGATGGGAAGCTTAAGCGGAGAGGGTCTAAGGATCGGACGGGTGGTGGGAGCTCAGGGATGGATGGTGGGGTGAAGGACTATCGACGGTCCAGATCAAGTACTAATGACATTTGAGAGCTTTTGATGTCGTTGGATTTGATTACTTTTGTGTATTGTGATCACTTCGGCCATTGTTTATGATCTATGTCTATTGCGCATGGGGTGCTTTGATCGCTAAGACACTGATTCGAGGATAATAGCCAAATACCGCCTTACAATGTTACTGTGACGAGTTTTGAGTGGCTCTGTTATGGCTTTGCCCATATGAAGGAATGAGTTGTGTCATGTGGCTTGAGAGAATGCTTTGGGCAACATGCTTGGATGAGACATGTAATTCAATTTGTTTGAAGCACTTATCCTTACATCTGAGTACATATGATTTATCTTTCTCTCGTAAAGTTGATAAATTCTTAAGTTTGAACAATCAGATAATGTGTTGTTCAACATAAGATAGGAAAATACCACAACTAGCCCTGCTCTTTGGATTTCGGTCCACCCACCCCGCCTCACCGAGAGAATGATTCGTGTACATGGTCTCGTTTCAATAATACAATAACATATGTTAATTTATTTCTACATATCTTTCTATTTTTAGCATTTAAACGGACCATTAGCATAACAGTATATATGTGCTGTATAAATTCCCTTGTATGACACTTAGTGTCTTCATCTAAACGAACATGTTGTTTGATTGGTTTTCTCCGTCAACCTACTCATATCACGCCATGCGTGCGTGGTTGGACTTGTTGGGCTGCTTGGGCCGTCGGGCCTCCACGTTTCAAGAGCAGGGCGGGCCCTGAGGGGATGCAAGTGGTGCTATCGCACATGACCCCCAAATCGAAAGGATCCCTGATTTTTCAATTTTGTATGTATTTACGTATATATAGTAGTATGTGTAGAATATTACAAACTTGAGTCTTAGCGCAAATGGAATTATTGCTTCTTTACATCAGCTTAGGGGATGAGTTTGAAACTCATCTCCATCTTTTTTTTCAGTTTATATTTTTATATTAAATGCATAAGCTTTCACAAAATAATATAAAACTTCTACACAATAACATGAAAATTCAAATCTTGACCCTCTAAATAGTTAAGGAAAAACAATACGTCACTTTTTCACTTGTTTATTTGTTAAATTTGTTTGTGCTATTAGAATTTATACAAGCTCAATTGAAAAATAAAATTATTATTTTAAACATAAAAAATTAAAAAAATTAAATTTTTAATACTTTTTTGGGCCTTCAATTCACTTTCGTATAGAACCCTGAACCCTCAAATCTCCAGGCCGGTCTCTGTTCAAAAGTACCACATATGACTCGAGCTGCTAAATTACACTTGTACCCTAACAAACGCTGTCAATTTACTGGCACCGGAACGTGGTGGTCTTCGAAGCTTCTGTGCCGCAGCAGGTTGAAGAAAGAGAATATTCCTTCTTGCCGAAGAATCTCGCAAATCCAATCCAACACAACACTTTCTCATTTCCTTTTCCTAACACCCATATTTCCCACCAATTCTCCCCTGAAAATTCCCAACTATTTTCCCAGAAAATTCACAACTTTCCCAAGAAAACCAGCCCCAAGTTTCCAAATCCGAAAATGACGACAATCAAAGACCTAAGTCTCGCAATTGACGAATCGGCTTGCGCCATTGACTTCTCCGACTTCCCCGAGGACGTACAGCTCTGCATCCTCTCCTTCCTCACGCCTCCCGAGGTCGCCAGCTTCGCCTGCACATCGAAACGGTTCGATTCGCTATGCAAATCCGACGGCAAGCTCTGGTTCAACATGTGCGATCGCAGGTGGGGATCCAAGACCCGGATCAAGAAATGGGGAAATGGGAAAATCACGTACAGGAATCTCTACCAGACCCTCAGCGATTGGGAGAATCTGATTGGGTTCTGGCGCCAGGGCGGCTTCACGACATCGCCGCTGTTGATTTTTTTCGAGTGGGGCCCGTCGTTCGTGACGGGGTTCCGAGTATCTCCGGCCAAGGACGGCACGTACGGCGTCGTAAAGGCGCCGTTTTTGTGGATGAGCCTCTCGCCGGAGGGGCAAGTCGTGAACTTTCTGGACCCTGAAGGCCGGCCCGAGATTTTGGAAGATTTCGCGGATTCCGACCGGTTCAAGTTTCCGGAGAGCGAATTGGTTCCGGTGAATGTGAGATTGGTGGGGAAGACCTATTTTGTTGTGGAGGAAGATACAAGCTTTGGGGCTCGGAGACGTTTGAGCTCAGGGACTGGCCGCGTAAACGGCAGCGTGGTCGACGAGGATGTGATTGGAGCCGCCGAGAGTAGTGGCTCTCCGGGGACCTCACCAGACCAGGCGGTGGTGGAGATATATCAGTACCTTGCGAACCGTACCAGCCCGGGTGCGGATAGAGCTTCCAGGAGGCAGAGGAGGAGAGAGAAGCAAAGGCAGGCAAGGAGGAAGCTGGAGCCTCAGCATTATGTCAAGATTGTAGATTGCTCGCCGACGACGGCTAGGCCTTTGCAGGGCCTTTGGAAGGTTCCTTTTCTCTCTTTGTACTGGCATTTTTCAGCTGAAAGTTTGAATAGAAGATTGTTATTGCCTCAAGAGATGTTGTGCCATTTTTATGTAGACAAACGCACTAACAGTTTGATCTCGATTTCGCCTTTGTGAAGTGTTTGTTGATTGTTGGAGGACTGCATTGTATCTAGTTTGTATTTTGGAATTTAGATTTAGCATCCAAATTTATTCCGAAACGGAATAGGACTGTTCTCTCCAAGAATTTCCGTTGAATGTGTTTCTGACAGTGTTATTGCTTCATTGAATTGTTGTTATGTATGAGAATTGCGAGCGAAGATCTGGCTGCATCAATCAATTTGAGTAGAATTTCCGAACTACGGAGTGTAACAAAAAAACACGGGACTGTTGAGAAGTCTCGTTGCTGAGTTAGGAAAGTCGGATCAGTGTGCTTTAACTAACTGGTTTAGAAGTCTCTTTTCGCTCTTTGCTTATAATGTGCCATTACAAGATGGTGGATTCAGATGAGTTTTCAATTATAGCACAACTAGTCAACTAACCCTCTCATCATCTTCCAACTGCAGGGAATTTATGATGACATGGCCTTGGGATTTTACCTTGTTGCATATGATAACATCGGGGGCATTTCCTGCCAAAAGGTGTGCAGCCCGTCGGAGAATTTATGCCATATAATGCGTTTTATCAGTAAGCAACCAGTGTTTTGGGCAGCGAACCCTACTTTTATTGAGTCTCCAATTTCCCCAGAGGAACAAAATTTGTACACCAGTCGTGTACATCTTCGACCAAGTGCAGCAGAGGATCACACTCATCAGCATCTCCCTCTCACAGGAAATGAAGGGGTCTCCCGCATTCTGCGCATAAACTTCAGTCATGATCTAGCTCTTCCGGACTGGGTCGGGCCTAACCCACCTCATGCACATGGAAGGATTTGGCAGTATGGGGATGGAACATTTGGGTTTGGATCGCTTCAAGATAGTTTTATCAGAGACTTGAAGCATGTTGTCAAAAATGGTTGTCTTCTTGATACCGTGGATCCTTTGTCGTGACGAATGTACTCCTTTCGGAATGTTTCATTTTTTTTTGTTTATTTTTGTACAGAATTAAACTGCAGTCAGAATTCCGATGACTGAATTTATTCGCATTTCAGATTTTCTCTTGTAGAATCATCTAATGAGATGTTCAATAATCAGTTGGCTCATATCTGAATTTGTAGTCCAGTTTTATTGTTTTCTTTTGACACAAGCCATCTAAGATGTGGGAACGAAGATTCGAACTTGAGTGCATAGAAGAGCATATCGGTTCTAGCGAGTGTGGGCACGCCCACGTGTGCATGTTTTATTGCTTTCAAAACATGCGAATCGTCATCCTTTACCAGTAGAGAAGATTTGCAAGTCCAAACTCCGCCGTTGTTGTTCCCATTTATATTCCAGGACAAACAATTAAAACTAGTGATAAATGAGCATTTTGTGTTTTCTAAATAAGCACGAGGAGGAAACGGATTCAAGCTTGGTTCCGCATAAAAGAACAACTCTCAAACAAACAACAAATTAATTAGTTTAGAATATGTGTCAATTGTGACTTGTAGTATTTTATTCGATATTTAATTTAGGATTAGAAAAGATTAGCATGAAAACAATAGGGTTTAGATTGAAAATATAGGATTTGGCATCTCATTTGAGCATTCACAAACCTCACAGGAAACTAAACACAACAAATGAATGAACCCACACGCTTCAATTAATACTTAAGATTCATCTGTCTTGCAGGAAAATGATAAGGTATGAGGGACAGCAACACCGCGCCGGCCTTAAAGAACGGATGCTAAGGCGATTGCAAATAGAGTCATCCGTTGTCTTCGAATCATATTTCAGCAGCAACTTCTCTGGCATTCTCATCCACGGCCATCTTCTCATTGTCACCCTCAAGCTGGCTCAAGTTTCCCTTCTCCTTGATGAGTTGGGTGTGATGGTGCTTGCAGTAGAGCCGGCCCTCATGTGCAATGTAGTTCGATGGGCTGATTGTACACCCTCCATGTGTGCATTTGAAACACATCTTGTGGTAAGGAGTTCCGTTCACTGACACCTTTTCTGTTGGATAGACGGTATTCCTGCAGCCAAAGCACTTTTCTCTGGTTCCACCAAACATGCTTGAAGCCTTCGCTACTGCAGGTTTCTGTAAAACAATTTACCATCGAGACCATCGACAGATGATGATCAGCAGATGTTAAAAACTTGTGTGATCCATAGGCAAGCATTTAAAGGTTTTCGGACGAATATACCTCATTATCAACAGGTCTCTCTGGTTTCACAATTTTTGGTGTCCCTGAGAAAGGAAATTGAAACATAAGTTGATCAACTTGAGCGATGAAGAGAAGGGAAGGTTAGTTATTGAAGCGGGATTTTGATTTTACCTTCAAAACTTTTGTCAAGACTGCCGGTTCTTTTGAAGAGCTGATCAAAATGTGGCCTGCAGTAGAGTACTCCCTCAAAGGAATTGTAGTTGCTAAGCTGCGAATTCATCAATTTGTAAATGGAGTTGTTTATGAAAACCAAAAATGCAAAAGTAGTTATTTAATCTTCTATATCGGAATCATTCTTTAACGACTTACAGATGAAGATTAAAAATCAAAGTCGATGTAAGATGATTCCGGGATAGAACAATGCTGGAACAACTGGTAGAATCAAATGACCGGAGTCCGATTTCTGACTAATTGTTCACTCTTTGGTGTTATATATAATAGAAGATAAGTTTGTCAATCAGTAAACTCTAGTTCTGTTCTTGCATTTGAACAATTCACATATCAAATTTTCGGGTTTAATCTATGATCTTATAACATTAAGATGCAGGTGAAAATTGAAATTTCTGAAATTTCAATGTTAAAAAAAACTTGTTCATGATAAGCATTAAGCACCACAAAGCAGAGTTTACTTTAAACAAGAAAGAACATCTATCAGATCGAAAAGTACGCCGAAAACAACTCTTAATTATTGCAGTAATTGTTTTAGTGCAAGCAATATGAGACCGGTTTTGCTAGATTTTGCTTCAATTCAACATTCCGTCCCCCAAAAATGAAAAACATAGATTTTAAGAGTCGTTTGACAACCATTTCGTTTTTAGTTTTAGAGCAGCGTAAGTTAACGAACCTTGAGGGTTCCCCTGCAGTGGTGGCATCGGAAGCAGGCTTTGTGGTAGATTCGGTTATCAGCTGTGAGCTTGTCCACCAGATACACTGTCTTGTCACAAGCCATGCACTTCTGAGTTGTTCCTGCAAATGCCATTTCTCCACTCTCTCTCTCTCTCTCTGTCTCTCTCTCTGAGAATAAGAAGAAGGAGGGGAGATGTGAGAAATGGAATGAGAGAGATGATTAGGGTTGGAGTGGGGAATGGGAATTCAGAGACCAAAAGAGAAGCACAACTGTCATACTGTTGGGATGAATATGATTAAAGTTTAGCAGCAATTAGCAATCATGTTGTCCCACTTCCAAAGCACCTACCTACCGCTCTCTCTAGATATTCTTTCTTAATTATCTTCCTTCCTTGCCCTCTAAACCATGCATTTGATTTTATTTTTTCTAATGAATTTTTGAAAAGAAACTCACGTAATCAAAGACACAACATGATAAATATTTTATTGAACGAGTGTTGCATTTGTAAATATGTAATATAGATCATAGATGTATGGAACATATGATGTTTTTTTTTTTAGAAAGCATTTTAAGTGTTTTTTTTTTTTTTTTTCAAAATTCATTTGCATGTTTACTAAATATTGGTTCCAAAAACATTTTTAAGTATCAGAAACGCTTACAACCATTACAAAAACACTTCTAACCAAGCTCTTAGTTGATTAGTTTGGTGGTGTTGTGTAAAGAGGGTTAATTAGTTCAGAAAAAATTACTACTAATTAATAAGTTGGTTTGTTTTGCTTTTATTAATTAAGTTGGAAGCTAAATTTGGAGTGCGACACTAGTAACTGGGATACATGTACGGATGGATATTGGGTTAACACCTAAAAACCCCTTTTTGAAAAAATTGAACTTAGAAGCATCAAATTAGTGACTTTTCTCCCAAGTTTGATGCCTCCATGCCATCAAATGCCAGCACTTCTTCATCATCTCATTTGCTTGCCTAGTTGGCTTGCATTGCATGCTTATATTCTCAAAGATAATTTTTTACTCCATGATTGCACTCTTTCTACATAACAATATTTGGCTACTTAGGATGAGTAAGAACTTCTACTTAAAACTCTTTGTGTTCAAATTATAAGATTTTGTGTTGATGGGTTAGAGCCATTCATATCATGAAACACTCTACAAATATCATCTTTGCGAAAAATGAATTAAAACTAATGTCGTTTAGTCGAAACTCTATTATAACAAATACACAGATGAGTCGTAATGATTTTTACCAATTCCGTTCATTTTTTTTATACAGTTCAGAGACTTAGTTTTAATTGATTTTTTTGCATATGCGATCTTTATAATTTGAACGGTTATAATCGCAACATGAAATTCTATGAATCAACAACAAACAATTTTGAGTAGGAATCCTACTCATTTTTAGAGTAGACAAATATTATTTATTTTTATAAAGATGGATATGGCCTCTGAATTAAGGTTGAATCTTTTGAGTGAAATTGTCTCAACCATACTTAATAGAGCATTTTGATCGACAATCTATCGACATATCATAGTACCGTTTTGCTCAAAAAAACATTTTCATATAATCCGAATTGTGTGTAGATGGTTAGAATTGCTCAATCCTCCGAGTTGCCTAGTTTTTGTTTCATTCGAGTTTATGTTATAATCTATTTTAAATTAAGACTTTCGAATTTAAGTATAGAGAAGGAAAACATGCCTTAGCTTCGATTTCAAACATTGCACATGAGTTTGAAATGATGGAGGCACTAAACTAGTCTTCTTTTTATCTTTCACCACACTCGATCATGATGACAAATCTTATTCCAAACTCCATCCATGCAAATTTGTGGGAGTCCCACATTGGAATTTTTGCTTTTGCCTAATGTGAGCTATAATATGGTCCCCCTCCATCTATTAGTTCAAACATTGATTTAAAGGAAAACTAATGGAAGGAGCTTGAAAACTTTGAGTTTTAACGCTAAAGACAAAATAAAGGGTAAAGTGAATAGTACCAGGTTTGACTTTTTAGTGTAAAAATGTGATTTTTCGTTAAAGTGAACAATACCTCAGACTTTTCGTTAAAACTCCCTTGATTTAATGGCTAGCCCAAAATCACTAGGAATGTCAGAAATTTTTTATCCATAACATTTTATGTGAATTGATATCATAAAAAGAAGAATACCGATAATATGTTAGATACGTTTTGTTAATAAGAATAATATAGAATTATTAACATCAACTTAATTGACCTTCTGTTCCAGAGTAGGACCTCATCCCATGTGAATGAAAGTGAGATGACATAAAGCTCGTCCGAATTGTGACCAAGGGACTCAAAAGTCCAAGAGAGAGAACCATGGGCCCCGCAGCCAATGGGATATCTTTTATCCACGGGTATGTTTTACATGTTCTTTCATCTATAATTAATAAAATGTTTAACCCCCCGGGTAATAACAAGGTGGGCATTTGGTCTAGTGGTATGATTCTCGCTTTGGGTGCGAGAGGTCCCGAGTTCGATTCTCGGAATGCCCCTTTTTATTATTTACTTTTACTAATTTTTCTACCCCCGTTGGCCTTTTTGCCGCCGACTCGCTCCCTCAGTTACCGCCCCTAAAACCCTAACCCTCGCGATTCTTCGATTGCATCGCCCTGAACAATCACTTCTCTCGATTTTCCGACGGCTTTACCCTATAACCCAAAAATGGTTTTTGGGCAAGTGGTGATCGGCCCGCCCGGGTCAGGGAAGACCACTTACTGCAATGGTATGTCTCAGTTCCTCCAGCTCATCGGAAGGTAAAGAATTTCACTCTGATTTATGGGTTTTCAAGTTTTTCCATGGCTTCGGTTTTTGTTTTTAAATCTGTCTTAATGTTTGCATCGACCATTTCATCGTTTTCGGCTCGCAGGAAAGTTGCAGTTGTCAATTTGGATCCTGCCAACGATGCATTGCCGTAATTTTTTCAGTTTTTTAGTGTTTTGTTGTTCGTAATTGCAGTGTTGCAATTCATCCCTATGTAGAATGTTGAGCCTTTACGTGAATTTAGGTATGAATGTGCTGTGAACATTGAGGATCTTATAAAGCTCAGTGATGTGATGGTGGAGCACTCTCTTGGTCCCAATGGAGGTGAGCTCTTACTGTTCTTTATTGAATCTATAAAAGTTCAATACTTGGGTAAATTAAAGAGTAGAAATTGTTTGGTTCGGGAATGAAGAAGGAAAACGATGGAAAGATAGGAAGTTATGGGACTCGAGAATTTTTCTTTCGAAAATAGGTGACATTTGGAGAAGTTAGATGGTAGGAACAATGGTTACTGACTTATTTTTGTTATTTAAGCATTTTAAGGACGATTTCCGTTTACTGTAAAAGCTCTTCCTTTATTTCTAGTTTGGGAGTGAGCCAAATGGAGTAAAAGGTTCTAAAATACCCGCGAGATAGACAGCACGACAGTTAACAACTGCATGTCAAAGAGCTTCTATACCATAAAACATAAAGTCACTTGATACCTTTTTTTGTGGATGTACTTGATCAAGATGAAAACATGTAAAGTTTGAAAAGGTGTTGTGCATCAGATGGTTTATAATCACGTATTCCTGTTTATTTTTTGCGGAGATCCTCTTGAGTTACGACTAACCCATTAGTTGGTGCTGAAGCATGCCCTTTTGTTAGACTCAACAAATGATGCTTTATCTGGGCTGCAACTTCTGAAGTTTCTTTTGTAATGTTCATCCAGGTCTTGTATATTGCATGGATTATCTAGAGAAGAATATTGACTGGTTGGAGGCGAAGTTGAAACCTCTTATGAAAGGTTGGTGTGTTCTGCCTTGCTTTACTTGGTTAGAATGTTCAGGCTCTGGACATTGATATCATGATAATCCTTTTTTTGTTTACCCGAGGGGATGGTAATCGCGGTTATTTCCTTCCCTTCCATATTTAGATGTCCAGTCTCATCGTGATCTTTCCATGCTATATTATTGATTCTTGAACTTTTTGCAATTGTGTTTTTCATGTTGTTTAGATGAAACACTGTACGCTTGTACAGCTTTTCAGAGGGTATTCATGTGTTGGCTGGTGGGAGGACTTCTGTACATGTAGTTGCATTTTATTGCAAGAAACAGTTTCCAATTGGATCTTATGATAGTTCGGTATTAAACTTAAAGGTTTGACCAATGATGCCTAAATATATAAATGAAAATGAAACCTCTGGAAAACATAACCATTGTTTGAAAGCAAAATCAGCTTGTTTTTTCCTTTTTTCGGGTATAACTTATACATCATAATAGCACGTTTGAAAGGAATTGAATGTTAGTGTTCATCTAGTTTGTAATAGTGCCATGCTGCTGCCTAACTTTGTTATGAACGTTGCAGATCATTATATTCTCTTTGATCTCCCCGGCCAAGTGGAACTATTCTTTCTTCACTCCAACGCCAAGAATGTTATCATGAAGCTCGTAAAGAAGTTAAACCTCAGGGTATGATTTTAATCTTCTGTATATTTGTAGATTGCACCATTCACTTGGACCATGATAGTGGATGCACCTTTGGATTGTTATCTTGATGGCTTCCTGATTTGATGCAGTTGACCGCTGTGCATTTGGTTGATGCCCATCTTTGCAGTGATCCTGGAAAGTATGTTAGCACATTGATTCTCTCTTTATCAACCATGCTTCATATGGAACTCCCTCACATAAATGTCTTGTCTAAGATTGATCTAATAGAGAGTTACGGAAAGCTAGGTATGGTCATGGCTTGTTCTTTTGATATATTTTTTTTTTTCATTTTTCCTTATGCATCACATTTGAGATATCTGACTCATATTACTGTTTTCTTTTTAATCTCTGCAGCTTTCAACCTTGATTTCTTCACAGATGTAGAGGATTTATCTTATCTTCAGTACAAGCTTGATCAGGATCCTCGTTCAGCTAAGTACAGGTTTGATTATTTATGATCTTATGGGAAAAGACTATGAAAATCTTGCCTTGGCTTTTGTTTTTTAATTTTTTTTAATAACGAAAATGTTTCTTGTTTATATTGCAGAAAGCTTACTAAGGAGCTTTGTGAAGTAGTTGAAGATTACAGTCTTGTCAATTTTGCAACCTTAGATATCCAGGCATGCCAGTCCCTATCCACTTTACACCCGACCTCTTGAATTTTTTATGCTTCGTGTTCTCACTTGCTACTTTTCAGGATAAAGAGAGTGTAGGGAATCTAGTTAAACTGATAGACAAGAGCAATGGGTACATTTTTGCTGGTATAGACGCGAGTGCAGTAGAATTCAGCAAGATTGCAGTCGGTCCTGTTGATTGGGATTATTACAGATATCCTTTTTATTTTGATTCTACAATAAAAAGTTTGCGGGTAGCTCTTTATCTTGTCAAGATACTTGTGAATTATACTACTAAGTATTTGGAATTGTCCTTTAGCCACATCAGAATCTGCATTATCAAGAAATGACATTTTCTGTTTCGCTTAACAAAGTAGCTCACAGTTGCAGCAGTGCAAGAGAAGTACATGAAAGATGATGAAACTTTTGACGACGACAATGAACAGCCGGGAGACTGATAATATGTATGTATGAGAGAATGATGCTTGTCTAGTCCATCTTAGTTTGTTGGTCGTATGCTTCAGAAGTTCATGACTGTTCCCTCACTGACTTCAGATCCGAAGAATTCTCAACGTCATGGATACTTTATGCCGACAAGATCAGGCAACTCCCCGCTAAAGTGACTATTTTTGTATGATTTATATACTGTTTAGTCATGCCGGATTATTTATACAAATATGTTACTTGCGTAGAACTGTTTACAAAAGAGATTGAGCATATGATGATGTGGGTTTGATAACAAAACTGTGGTTTAACGGCGTAGATTGAGTTTTTATGTCGATGATCTGTTTAAGAACTCAATAATCATGCTGGCTTTTGTCGACGTATACTATAGTAGCCAGTGGATGTCAAGTTTGTTTATGTAAAAGTCGCGGGAGCACACACAGGAAGTCTGCTTGTGTGAAGTGAAGAAAATGCCTTCATTTCTGTAGATGTTGAAGGCTTCTGGAAGCCCTTAACATGGTTGAAGTGTTGTTGACATAAATGTCTGAGGGTGACGAAGTTGGGGCCCCGGTTTTCAAGTGGAAAAACTGCCCCGCTCCAAAATGAAGACTTGGGTGGGTGTAGGGACACTTGGTGAGTAGGTTGTAAGAATTTCTATTCTAGATGGAATGAGACGGGAATGATTATTATGAATTGCACATATAATGATATATTTTATAATTAAATTCAAACAAATATTATATAAAACCAAAAGTATATTCGAATTAAGCAGCAATGGGACCAAATTTTCCGACATAAGATATTTTCTTCTAAAAATAATAATGACATATATTTGAGTTTAGCTTATCCTATTGTAACGTAATGCCTTGGCAATTGGTCAGGGTATTTTTTAAAATTTTATTTATTTATTATTTCGGACAAATGATGTCTATAAAAAGACATTTAATTATTGAATTCATTGAAAAGATACATCGTATCTGATTTATACAAGTCGAACTATTTTAAATATCCTTCAATAGTTCAACCAACTACACACAACTATGACGAAAGCATATACTAATTTTATTGCCTCTCGTTTTTTCAACAATAAGATTGAGGCTGCGATTGTTATCCTGTTAGTACTAACAAACATGATTAAGACGTATTACATTTACAATAATCTTGAGATTTCACTTCAAATAATATTGCGTGCTTCGCAAGTTGTGCTTTCACAAATTATAATATTGATTTATGGTCTTTCTTCAGGGATCTTAGATTTGGTATAGCATGGAATGGACCAGCAGTGACGAATCATTTAGATTAGTGATTTGCTAATATCGTATTACTTACTAAAATAACTGCAATTATTGCTTTGCTCCTACTCCTAGCATTGCTATGAAACGTAATCAAATACGTCAAGGCATACACGATGTTCTATTTAATCTTAGTAATCCACAAGTTATTGAAAAATGACCGGGAAAATTATGGATAAACATCCACACAAAATTAATTTGCATACATTAGATTTTTTTTTTTTTTTTTCACTTTTGTAACTAACAAAATTATACAAGTAATACAAGATTTAAAATCGTTTGACGTCTAATGTTTGTTTCATATACACGAAAATTAGATTCATGTGTTTCATCTTAGAGCTATAAATGGGAGGGAAATTGAATTCGTGGCAAGTTTACTTAACGTGAATGGGAGAAGTAAGAATTGTAGAGCTTAGAAAGTAAAAGATGAGACAAGATGAACTAGTCGTGTAATTTGATTTCTAATTTTCAAGTATTGCACGGTAGATTTTAAGGGTGTTTCTTTTTCGATTCCATATGCGTTAGTAAACATAGGAAAAATTAGGATTAAAATTATTATTATTATTTTTTGACAAACATGGGAACAATTAGGATTAAAATTATTATTATTATTATTATTTGACAAACAATATTATCTACATTAAGGGAGATACTTAGCTTCACAATGAGCTAGCAATAATGTGGTTCAAATTCGCCTTTGGCAAGAATCGGACCTAAAACATCTCACTTACAAATAAATAAAAATACTATTAGATCGTAGTACTAAATGACATAAGTTAAAATTATTTAATTATACTGAATTTAATTCTCATTCTCAATAAATTAAAATATCAACGACACAAATAATAAAGGTAAATACTGTTATGCCATACATGCCAGACTTCCACGGCATTTTCAACCAATAGTTCATGGTCCTAGTGGACCAGGTGCTCCTTCTAGAAGAAATTATCTTACTCGTTTATGATTTTCACAAATACCTGCGCCACTCAATATTTTACGACTAAAAATGTTTTCCTGTAAATTTGGACCAATTCAAATTTCAACCCACTTCCCAAGCAAAGCATCCTGACCAAACCATGTAATTAACTAAATTTTATATAATATTTTCTTACCATTTTCTCTGTCCAAACATCCAGTCTGCGTATTTGCAAAAAATAATCTCAGACGTGTATATGTGGCATTATTTCCTTCCTCTCCAAGAAGTCAAACCCGCCCCAAAATCCATGTGGGTAGCAGAAGCTTCCGTGGCATTTTGCTTTTGTCAAACCATTCCTTTGACTAGAGGTTCGTTTTGGATCTCTCTCCTCAGCAGATCACATCATTCACAGCAAAACAACCCTTTATATATATATAATCTCTCTTTGCTTCCGATCAAACCAAATCACTCTATACTCAAATACCAAAACTCAAAAACTCAGGCTCGTTTGACAATCATTTCATCTTTAGTCCCTTGAATTTATTGAAATGTTAAGCCCTTTCAGCTGCGGATTCTTCCACTCGGAAGACGTTCAAGATGAACCCGTAAACATTTCGAGTCCTTGCTCCACGCCGAGAAGATCAAGGAGAAGCAAGCAAGGACTAGCAAGAACCCCTATTCGAGTCGAGGCCTCGACAAGTTCTCTGCGCTCTTAGCCGATCTAGAAGAGAAGCGGCAGAAGATTTACGCGCAAACGCCTCCGCAAGACATATCCTTCGTCCGCTTCGTGTTCAAGGACTCGAAGGAGGACTCCCCTCCCGTCCCGATCGTGATCAAGTTGAAGGACAACAAGAAAGAAGACCACAAAGAGAAAACCAAAACTCAGCTGGTGAAAGAAAAGCATGCAACGCGTAATTCGGGAAGTTTGGATAAGTTTACCGTTGAGCCCTCCACGCCCATAAAAGAAGTAGCAGCTCAGCAACCACCAAAGAATGATAAGAGGGTGCGTTCGTCATTGAACTTCAAAGGAATGAACTTGGGTATGTGGAGAAGGCCTTCTTACTATTTGCCGGTGGTTGTGGTGTTCATTTTGGTGCTGCTGGCGGTGTTCGGGCGGTCGTTTGCGATTCTGTGCACGTCTATCGGCTGGTACGCATTGCCGAATTTGAAAGAAAGCAATTCCGAGACAAAAAGAGCATCAAAGAAGAAAGACCATAGTAGAAGATTGAGTGACAATAATCATAATAATAATCATGGATCATTGTCTTCTCCAAAGAGTAACAACACGGCGGCCTACAGTACGCCTCGATCACAACAACACGGTCACCGGAAAAGTTGGTGACCGCAGTGATGCTATTGACTTGTGAATTTTCTCCGTATATTCCTTGGTTCTTTCTTTCATATTTCCTCTTTTATTTTTTACTCGGTCAAGATTTGGCTGCCCTGTATGTTCAGACAAGGTTCTGTTTTTGGTTACGTGTATCACCTTGGGTTGAAACCTAAAAATTCAAGCCCTGTATTTTGACTGTTTCTAAATGTAAATTATGATGATTAGTACGAGATTAGTCTGGAGATGTCTTGTTGTAAGATGTGATTAGTGAAGTTTGCCTTGTAATTCCACGATATATGTGGTTAAGTATATGTTTTGGTCTTGATAGATTTTTGGTTTTATGCTCAAGTTATTCACCACAATTTTCTCAGAACAAAAGCTAAATCAAGAATGATGGCTCGTTTGATGGCTTGGTCTAGACTGAAATGAACTTAAAATATTGAAACTGGACTTATGAAATTGGATAAAAACTAACATCTTACAAGTCCCATCTGATAAGATGCAAGACTCTTAAGATTGGGTCGTTAGACTTAATTCCAATCACATCCAGTCTCAAATTCCAATGTAAAGCGTGTGGTGTTAGCTCTATCCTAAAAATATAGATGTTTAAGAATTAGCAGATGAGTGGCTGTTAGGGTTCAAATGCCACTCGAATTCAGAAATAGCTAATTCTCTAATCTGTTGAAGCGTAGCAGTTGACTGGACATTTGAGAGTAAAACACGTTCAATAATTTGAGCGATAGGATGACCTACAAAAAAATTTAATACATAATTCTTGAAAAGATCCGGTACCCCGGCCTAATATACTTCCTAAATTAATATTTCTCTATAGTTTTTGCTGACACTAAACCAACAATTTGCACAATTTGTTCAAAACAGATGAGTCCAGCACAACATTCAGCATTTCCATCAAGTAGAAACGGCGAAAAAACGATGCTTAATTGGTTTCCATGAAATGCAAGAAACCTAGAGATGCAAGACCAGATCACGTAGTTTCGATTTAAAAAGAAAAAAAAAACGAAAGTCGGGTCATAGCAGTACACGTTTTACACCGGCGGGAACTTTGTCTTGAAGCTTTTTACGGACTATTTCCCGGCCTGACTCTAGCTAATATTGGTGTCCATTGAAACCAACGGTTTATCACTAATCCAAAAATCTTTCTTATTATAGGGGGTTAAGACCATTCGCCAAAGACTTTGCGACTTTGCACACAGCAGGATTATGCTTGTGACACTACCGGTATGTCTCCCACTTATGATTAACGTTTATCGTCCAAACATCATAATCGGTACCGTTTATTCTCTTTATTATTATCTAAATATTATATGAAAAAAAAAAAACATTATTGGAGATGGTTTAGTCATTTATACGTATTACACCAATCAACTGTTTTAGTAATAAGTAACATCATCATTGAACCATTCATTTGTTTTATGCATATGAATGGCTAAAATATTTCGAAATTAAATAATTTTTTGAATATATGATCTTTAGACTAATAATTTTTTGAATATTTTTTTCATATATAACCTTTAGAGTATGATTTTGAAACTGCAAAAATTCGTTAGTCCTAAGTGGGACAAGTAAGTCGTCCATGTGAAAAACAATTATCCACACTGACTTGGTAAATTTGTAGTTTAAAACCATGGACGTCTATTGGTTTTGGTTTGGAAATGCGCATGAGTAATAAATAAATATTAATTTATTAAAATATGGGCCGTATGCCTTATGGGGCTATTGGGCTGTAATGATGTGGACAACATTAAAAGTTTTTGGGTTAAGTACGAATAACAACCAAATTTTTAGAGGCGATTCCAAATTGGTCAACAGATACTCGTTAGGTCACTGGTATTAAGTGATGACCTTGCAACTGTTAATTGACGATGTCATTAATGTTAAGTGATACTATAGACAAATATTGAAGTTAATTTTTACTAACAAGTCATTTTAGAGTTAATTTTTACTAACAAGTCATTCTAGTTAAAAGGGATATGTTTGGAGATTTAGAGCTTTATAAATGACGTGAGAGTGATATGTCACTTCAATACTTGTCAAGGTCTTCACTTAACACTAGTGACCTAACAAATATCTAATTTTAAAAACGTTAGATAGTTATTTGAAATGTTTTAAAAGTCTGAAACCATTTTGGAATTACCTCTAAAGGTGGTTATTCGGGTTGTATACTGTAATTTTGAAATGGATAATACATGTGTTTTTTTCATGATAAAATTTTTTTTGCTTCTTCAGAAAACCACAAAGTCAATCCTACTCCAGTATGGGAGAGCTAACTTGTCCCCCACCTATAATTAACATATCTTCATCGTACAAGCATCATAATCAGAACCATTAAGGGTTTTTTTTTTAATTTTTAATTTAACAGATATGTATGAAATTTATTACGAATATATATATATATATATATATATTTTAGAAAACCTCGACGGTATGAGGGAAATTTTATTGATATCGAAAAAAAAAGGATGCACCTAGTCAGGGGGTATAAACCTAACCTCTCATAATACAAGAAAAAAAGATTAAAAAATACATGAAAGGAAGGGGGGATATAATTATATAAACCTTACCCTTGTAGAAGTAAAGGAAAAGAGGGAGGGGGTGGGAAATGACACCTAACCCCTCTAAAGCTGAACCTAAAGGTCTAAACCTGCAAAACAGAGCCATGAATATCACAAGGTTAAGAAAAAAAACAAGAATGTGAGATAAACCTGTATATCGAGTTGCACTTTAATCTGAGAAGCGGAAGCTAGGAAAGCCAACATAGTCTGAAAATAAAGCAGCACAAACTGTCATCGGAGGGGAATCATGTCATACTAAAGTTGTAGAATACAAGCCTATGTTAGCAAAATTGTTTGCAACTACATTTCCTTCGTAATATATGTGAGAGGCATAGAAAGTCATCATCGATTGGAGAGCAGAAATAAGACTAAAATAGTCACTTTCTAGTCAAAGACAATGCCAACCCTATTGATATGCAAACTCTACACCAATAATAACTACCGATAATTATGCATAAAAAGAGTCGTAATGACCAATCCCTTGGTATAAATCACAAGAAACTGACCATGGCAATGGCAATCCCGAAAAAATCCTCCACAAGCAGCAGGACCAAGATTTCCTTTAGACAAACCATCTGTATTAAGTTTAATCCAAGGAAACCAAGGAGAAGACCAAAATACAAAAAGAATAGTTGGCACCTTGGGAGGGATAGGTTGGATTCCTAGAGAAGAATGATACGAGCATCAAAATCCTGAGAATATCCAGGAATAAACTTCCCAACATGAACGATCCCATGATTGATAGACATGCAAAGACGATAAAAATAGACTGAGTGACCCTCAAAAATACACTCATTTCGAGCTTTTCAAATAGCCGAAATAGTAAAAAGACCCACAAAAATTCAGGAATTGTGCAAAAATTAGTATAAGTATAGCCTCTTAACAACTCATTTTAGTCAAACACTCTTATTAGATGTCGGATAGAGAAACACCTACTATATTTATTCTTCTCATTATATTTCGGAGGATTCCCAAAAGCAAGAAAAACCCAACTCCATCTCGTGTCCAAGTTTGCCAAGTGGTTAGCAGTTTATTCCGCTTTCTGTAAATTAATGTGAAATCCAATCCCTGTCCAAAAAGTCTTTAGGCTAAACAAGGTCCTTGTCAAATAATATTTCTTGCAATATTATATTTGTCTCTCCAACAGACATGGTTATGTCTCCTGCTGGTATGCAAACTGATTTATTCCCTCAAACGCTTCCATGTTCATGCATCAAAGGTTTGACTCGTACAGTTTGGTGGTTAACAAGCACGCATGGTCCGGTGTCTAAAACTGAACTAAAAACGTTTGGTTGATACGTCAATTAATTAGACAGGAAAGCTAGAAACCCCCTTATTTAAACATTCTGATTCTTATTTTCGCCACTCTTTCTCATTTTGCAATTTTACACGATAATTTGAATTGTTTATTTTTAGGTCAGCATTTTAGGATCAATCCTACTAAGAATCAATCAAATTTAAAATGGTTTAGCAATGAATCTGTTATGTAGAAATATGACTCCTTGAATTAATAAATAACAACAGTTACAATCTATATAGGGTTAGACATAAGAAATCCAAAATAAATACTACAATTAAAAAATGAAAACTGTTATTAGCACTCCAATAATCCAATCGTACACTCATTATAAGAGTATTTTCTTTCTAAATATAAAAAGTTAGGAGTGCACAATTAGAGTTAGTACCAATAACAATTCTCTTAGAAATTAAATTTTTACAATTATGGAGAAGATTCCGGTTTAGTTAATTATATTCTAAATAGATTATCAAATTAATAGATAAATCATATTATTCACGGGTTAATTACACTAACACCCCTTGAGATTTATCGTGTTTTCACAAAACCTCCTCACATTTGAAACATAACACTAACACCCCTTGAGGTTCTAATTCACTTTCACATAACCCATTTAGGGCTAACATCACCTTAAAATAATTTCTTAAAGACAATTTTGCCCTAATTATTAATTACTTTATGAAAAATCCTTTATAAATAAATAGAATAAAAATTCAAATTAAAATCTTACATTAAACAATAAAAGGAAATAAAAGAAAATTGAAGAAATTTTGTTACCTTCTTCCTCTACGCTGTTAATTCATTTCCCAATCCTCTTTTCTTAATTGGAAGAATGCTAGCTGTAACATCCCATATCGCCCAGGGGAGTGATCCTTAAATGTATATTCTCATCCCTACCTAGCACGAGGCCTTTTGGGAGCTCATTGGCTTCGGGTTCCGTAGGAACTCCGAAGTTAAGCGAGAAGGGGGCTAGAGCAATCCCATGATGGGTGACCCACTGGGAAGTTGCTCGTGAGTTCCCAAAAACAAAACCGTGAGGGAATGGTAAACCCAAAGCGAACAATATCGTGCTACGGTGGTGGAGCGAGCCCGGGAAGTGGCCCTCCTGGTCCGAGATGTGACAATTTGGTATCAGAGCCTAACCCTGGCCGTGGTGTGCCGACGAGGACGTCGGGCCCCTAAGCAAGTGGATTGTAACATCCCACATCGCCCAGGGAAGTGATCCTTAAATGTATATTCCCATCCCTACATAGCACGAGGCCTTTTGGGAGCTCACTGGCTTTGGGTTCCGTAGGAACTTTGAAGTTAAACGAGAAAAGGGTTAGAGCAATCTCATGATGGGTGACCCACTGAGAAGTTGCTCGTGAGTTCCCAAAAATAAAACTGTGAGGGAATGGTAAGCCTAAAGCGGACAATATCGTGCTACAGTGGTGGAGCGGGCCCGGGAAGTGGTCCCCCC